AGGTATATTAGAACTGTGAATAAAATTAAGAAAGGTAAGCATACCTTTCTTAATTTTATTCACAATCCCGTGGTGGTTTAGACACGTAGAAATAATAAATGGGAAAAGAGTGGCACGTTGCAGAAGTGAATGGCAGATTCAAAACAAGGTAAGATCTAGACGAAAGTTTATCGTAAGTTTAATGGTAAGTTTTGTTGGTGGTTTTGTTAATATATAATTAAATCGGATATGATGTATGTGTAACGGTGAAATCGATTTATGTTATTTTATTATTATTATTACTAAATTATTATTTTATTTTCGATATTATTATAAATACTTACGCATTTGATATAATTAATATTAGTAATGATTTATAATTTTAGTATTAGAATAGATGTTAATTTACCCTATGATCCTTGTTGATTAAAATAAATTAATAAATAAAAAAAAATAAAAAAAATTATCGGCCAATTTGACGATATATTCAAGGTCAGCCAAATTAGTTAGAGTACAGCTAATAATAATAATATCTTCCTCAATCTCCATGACCTAATACGTCAACTCTCGACAAGAAAATACATACATACATACATAAACACTCACGCCTGTCACCCAGAGGGGTAGGCAGAGACTACAGACTTCCATTTGGCACGATCCTGACACACCTCTCTCGCCTCCTTCACGTCCATATACCTACGCATACATGCTCGTCGGTTAAGAGTACTCCTAATTAACAAGAAAATACTCGAAACTAAATTAAAAATCCGGATACAGTGGACGCATGCCATCTGGAAATCTGTTCAATCCGTTGCGCGCCGTGCGTGCGGTGCGTCCGGCGCGGGCCAATGGACAAGTACCTTTAAGGTACGTTAATTTTACACAATTTAAAACAGTAGAAAAAACATTTGTAATTATTTTTGAGAGTGATCAGAACTCTATAAATCATTGGAGCGAGTAAGGGTATGTGGGACGGGCCCAGTACCGGATCAGGCTGACACTGTCGCATTCTGACGTCGCATGTGGTCATTGCCCGAGCCCGAGCGCCCCTGGATGGAAGTGGTGCCGAGGGTGCGAGTGTTACCATAACGCCGGAAGACATGGCTGAGGCGGTCCGTAGGGCCCCGAACTGGAAAAGTTCGAGGCTCGACGGGCTGCATAACTACTGGCTGAAGGGGTTCGTAGTATTTCACGCTGTGCTCATCCGCCGAATTCAAGAGGATCTTGACCAGAAATCGCTCCCGAGTCTCTTCACTACTGGGATCACTCGGTTCCTAAAGATCAGGATACCAGAGAACCGAGCAAATACCGCCCTATCAAAAACTATAATATAAAACACATCCAGGCGAATCGTGCGTGTATCCGTGGTTATGATAGAATCATCAGCGCTGTAGGTTACACTGCAGCATTACGCTGAGTCATACCTTTTCACTAGCTCGATACACGTCCCATCACTTTTCTCTACTTCTACATTTAACTGTTTATTATTTTATTTTTGTGATATGTACATTTCCAGTGAATAAAGGTCTTTCTTTCTATCACGTGGTCTACCTCTCTACTAAATAAGACACTGACATCCATTTTGAATGCGAGAATCACTCGTCACCCGGACTAAATCAGGTGATGTCACGGGCTCAAAATGGATGTCGGCATGGTGGTCGTGAAACCAAGAACCACTTATCATTGATGTGGTCATTGTCAGCATATAGATATCAACGAGGAGGACATGAAACAGTCAGTTTGCGATGTGTTTTATGCACGCTTGACAAGTCTTTTGTCGGGCGTTAATAAGGCACACGCATATAACGGTTGGGTCATGACTGTTTTCATGTATACCTTTGCACACTCAGGTGGACTCAGACCGAACTGAACATGCCGAGGAAACATGGTGGGCGCGGCTTTTTAGCGCTCTCAACATGCGTAATCGCGAAGTGTGCAGTCTCTGTAATTATTTTCTGGCGAGATCGGATAATCCACTTTACAGGCACGTCATTACGTGTGATAAAGGGCTAGCCCCTTCATCCTTAGCCAACGAGCAATGACAAGTCTCATCAAGTAAAGTGCATTTCCGACCGGGAAACTGTATGAACAGAGAAGGAGCTCCACGGGAGGTTATACAAGACTCTTCATTAAAAAAAACAGCTTCGAGTAATCAAGCAGGTGAGCTTTTTAATTAAACTGAAATGATGTATCTAATCTACGCCTGTAACTCCTAAAGGTACGTGAAATTGCTCAGAAGGGCTAGAATCCAGAGCTGTAAAGGCAGTTAATAAAAAAGGTACGCAAAATGTATTAGAATACAACATACAAACACCGTGTAGTAGCGGTGTAAGAATATCCACTATTCTATACTATAACTGTGTAACTGATCTCATAATAATAAAAAAAACTGCGGTTGCTAACCCGCAAGCGTGGCAACTATGGCAAATCCTTCCTATGAGGCGAAAGGCCTTGTGGATGAATACAAATATACAAAACATACACATATACAAAAATAAATATACCACACTTTCGTACTTACCATATTCTGAACGATAACTGAATATTTTATGAAAATTAGCAGAACCGAGGATGAAGGCAACTTTATAATACTTAATAAATATTGATTGATATAATTCGACAGAATAGGTAGATAATGATTAATGTGATTAATTATTTAGGCTAGTTTTAAATCGATCCACAAAATACATAAGTTCCAACATTCTTAACGTCAAACCCACAGAATTATTAAAACGGGTTTTTCATGCAGTAAAGTTATTAATGTTATTGCAGGAACATTCAAAAGGAATAGAAACGACGACGAGACGCGACAGTTACGCACACTGGAGTGAGACGGCAACACTATTACACGACAATAGTGTGACGCGTATTGGCTACTTGGCCTGTATTATTTCATTTCCCTATAGCCCCCCTATACAGTTGAGTTGAAGTCGAACAGCGGTCGTCGCTTGCCGCGTGCTATATTTACCGACTGGAGAAGGCGTTGTTTACTTTTGAATTAAAACTAAATAGTGTTTCTATAGATGTTATCTTTATCTTACATCGAATCAATTTATGGTAAAAATTAGGCGTACAAGTTAAAAATAGTGCAAATAATATGTGTTCGAAGATAACAAATAAACCGATTGGAATAAAACTAAGAGTGTTACATCGTGTGAGATTGATAATTGCTACAATAGCGAGGTTTTTCTTTAGTTTGTATTATGGCACTGAAGGGAAAAAGTTGCCGCCCATACAAGATGATATCCTCAAACTGCCTGCAGTTGAAGTTGCGAGGAAAATTAGACAAATGGAGGTGAATGTATATTGTTTTCATTATTTTTGTATATCATAAAATGTACGTTTGAAGATCGAATAATTTCAACAGCAAAAGTAGAATCACATAATAAACTTAATATTATGTTAAGTGTGGTTTAACATAATTATAATACCAGGTGTATAGTTGTTTATCTCTGTATAGCTGGTATTGTATCCAGTGATATGTTGTTGCCTGGTAGAGTTCGCTTGTAAGCGATAAAGCCGCCAATCGTACCTTTTCTATTTGTATTTCTTTTCTCTTATTATTTGATATACAATAAAGTATACCTATTTCATTCATTCAGCTGTCAATTAATGTACTTTAGTTAATATAGATTTCATATTTAATTAATCATTATTTTTAACATTTTTAACAGGCAATGTAAGATGCACAATAAAAATGTCACCGTGTAAAAACACAAACAATTTTGTTAGTATATAGGTAGATAAACTTAGGAGGATAATAAATAGATAAGATAAAAACATACAATCGTTGGTTGTAACGTCATTAAAAACTTTGTGTACATGCATTAAAAGTAACGAAAGATTCAGTGATCAGTATAATTGTAAAAAACAAAATCCGTATTTTACGTTACGTGGCATATGTGTGGTTTAAATTAGTTCTATATTATGATTGAAGTACGAATGTGTCGGCTCGACTGGGGACACACTCTCACAGAATACCAGCGTAATATATCAGCTGCTGCTGTGTTTCATATGATGAATGTAGAGACCCTTTTTACTGAAAACGAGGCGTTCCATCTTAGTCCTCAGGGATGATAAAGCATCTGCATTTTGATTCTTAATCGAGGGCAGATTGTAGATGTCTGTGGGCCACAGCATCCACTATTACTACAATTAGTGGCGTATCTTTCTTTTTTATTAAATTTGCTGGCGATACCAATCCACATTCTGAAATTCCATTGCCTTCGCACTTTTTTCTTTCAACGCACAACTTTTGGCTACTTATTAATAGTGACGTCAATCTTGCAAATATATATGACTCACAAATGAGGCGGTTACACCTTACTGTGTCCTAGAATGTCCCATGTCTATAGACGAATTATCCCGATTATTTTCCTAAAATAGATTATTTCTTGTGCTATTTTCGACTAAACGACAAAAACCTTAGCGTTTCTATAAGCCGTTTATTGTCTGCAGTTGGCTATCAATATAGTGGTGATTTTCTTTACCATCTGAAAAAAAATAGGGTGTAAAGCCCCATTTACATTCAGCCACTGCCACTGCTCCTCGCGCTGCCGGCAATACTTCCCTAAATACTGCCGTAGCAGGATCGCGGGAAGTGTGTATTCACACTCTGCCCTACCACTCACATCGCTTTCGGCTTTCGACTATGGCGGACGTCGAAATAATTACAGCGTCCGCGCTGTGTCTTCTTGCAATACAAAATTATGTTAATAATTTAAAAAGATATCAAGTTCAAAAGAAGATAGATAGATAGATAGAAAATTTATTTGCTTAAAAACATGGTACATAAGATGATCAATGACGTGGAACTGACATGTTTTGCCATAATTGGCATGGAAAAATGATATGAAATACAGCTAATTACACAAACCCGATGTTGCTTAAAAGTTAGGTACACACATTCTTTTTGAATTCAAATATTATGTACAATTAAATACTTATACAGATCCACTCTATTTGAATTCTTATACAGTAAATTGTTCATAAATTGTTAACTGAATTATTATATTATTGTTACATAAATAATATTAAATATTATATGAGATTAGTTAAGCTATTATTATTTTATTAATTACACTTCAGTATAAACTAATTCGTAATTTTAATTACAATAAAATTATAATTTAAAAATCTCAGGCTATTATGCAAATATTACCTTTTAACTTATTTTACATTTTAATTAATAAATAATCAATATGAGTTACTAATCGTTTTTAGAAATAAAATGTCAATGTTCATTAATTCCTTAAACTAAATTTTATATTAATATAATAAATTTGACGAATTTATAATTAATTATGTACATAGGTACTATGTTAACTCAAAAAGAAAATTCGTATTCGTAGAAGATGATGAATTGTGGTTTTTATCGTTGAAATCCCATATAGTTTTTTCTGATTCCAGCAGTTCTAAAAACTTTATTGTATTTTCATTAATCCACTCGAAAGGCATTTTGGTAGATCGTATTTATTTAATAACAGGACGGCACGCACGTCCGTTCATCCAGGCGCTTGTCGCGAAGTGAGCGATGGAGCTGAATGTGAACACACACTGCCGCTCGCGCTGCCCGTCCTTTGACTTCCGCACGAAAAACCGACATTTCGGGCAGTGTCAGCGGCAGCGGCAGTGTCAGCGCGAGTAGCCTGTTTACATACTGCCCTGCCCACTGCCCTGCTCACTTCCCTGCCCAAACGGGCTGAATGTAAATGGGGCATTACAGATGAACGGATTAGAAGCCTATGGTACTGATATTTTATAATTTACCCTGACCCTACGTACCTACCTACCTTATTTTTTTCCAGACGGTAAAAAAATCACCTAGTATAATTGATTCTTTGTCTTCGATATTAAGAGTTAATGATAAAATAATAATATATTAAATAGTAAATTATAGGTCACCATTATTATTTAAACGTTTCCATTTATAATTTAAAACATGAAATACTACTTTGTGAGAAGCATAATATGATAAAATAATCAAACTAGTATTTTGATACAGTGATAAAGATGAAGTTTTTTATTGCTTATATATCTTCACATTTCTAGATGTTTACGGACACGCACACAACCAATCACGAAGTTTTAACGTAATCGGATGAATGACATAGGAACGCATGTGGAACAAACAAAGCGCAACATTTGAATAAACATTTTGTACATAATATAGAATATTATTTCATAGATACCAATAAGTGAATATAATTTTTTAAAGAATATTAACAATTCTATAAACGTTACTAATATTCCCCTAAACCACTCGTGGTAAGCTTAATTTGCTTGTGTTACGAGTGGTTCACGCCAGTAGTCGAATGGCGGATTCGAACCCACGACATTTTTGAGTTCGCGGTCGGCGCCCTGCCATTAGGCATCAGTTAAAATATAATACATTTATGATTCAATAATTTATAAAACACTTTTGCTTGACAAGTCGTCAGTAAAACCTAACCTCAGACCTTAAATGGTCTAAGAATCCAACCTCTAAATATACTTACAGCTAGTAATCTAATAATCTGTTCCTTCGTCCGCGTGCAATTTGTTACGATTAGATTTCATCAGTTTTTTATTATTGCGCGGAACCTTAATTCTTTTACTAAAATAAAAGAGGCCTAAGTTGCTACTTATAACATCAGCTATTTGCCAGTGAAAGAACAGTAAAAATCGATTCATCCATTTCGGAGATCAGCCGGAACAGACAGACAAAATTTTTTTTTTTTTTTTTTGTTATAAGTACCGTATCTTCTTTCCTATACATTTAGTAAAAAGTTGTTTTTCTGATATTACAAATATATTACTTTATGGGATTCACGCCTAAAGAGAATCATCTATTATTTCTATTGTTTCTGCATCGAAATAATTAACGTAATTGTTGTCTGGAAAGACTACCGCTTACTTCAAAGGACTACACAGACTAATTTTTTTAATATAAAACTAAAGTGTTAACCGAACTTACAGTCCACCTGGTGGTAAATGGCTACTGCAGCCCATGGATGCCGCAACGAACTTCAAACAAAGTAGCCTAAAGATGCATGGTCAACATTAGATGGAATGCCTGTGAATTCGGCATAGCCTGTAATAATACTGGCTATATATATACCCTTCAGACAGAAAATCAGCTAGCACTGCTATTTGCCGACAGAGATAGGTAAGAGGGTGGAATCTACTCAGATGGACCCCGGCGCAGAAAAGGAGTCATTCACTTTGTAAGGAGTATTTTCGCTAAGTGCCAATTTATAGCAAAACAACGCGTAGTTTAATGACTATCATGGACATATTTAAAGGAGCACAAACAAAACAGAGACAAATTAGTATATAACAACTACAATAGTTTATTGATCGCTCCAGTCAAGGACCCGTCTTCCACAAGGTGTTCCATACGAGCTTCTTATATAATGCCTCGACAAACCATTACTGGTCGTCCACAATTAAGCTCGCTTCCAACTATCTTATACTCGCATTGAGCGTATCGTTAATTATTAGTCGTCTTTATAATTTGGTCCTTCCATCATCTGGCTTATGACT